CTTCATAAAATACTTATTTTTACAAGTAAATTTGAACCATTCTCATGCTTCCTGTTATATTAATACGCTATTCTATAATGGTTACAGCATCAGATTGATCGATAATTTAGGCTTCTCCTTCATTTTCTATCCTTTTATCTCCTCCTCGACCAATCCTCGCCCTACTTTCAACCTAACTTATCAGTAGATCCTTACACTATCAGTTATATTGATGTATAAATATATTGTCTCTATTCTTTAACGATTAAAGGTCCATATTTATAAGTAATTTTTATATTTAGAATAATTAATAATCTTAAATTCCTATACTATCAGTTATATTGATGTATAAATATATTGTCTCTATTCTTTAACGATTAAAGGTCCTTAACCAAAAGTAATTTTTATATTTAGAATTATTTCATTTTATCTTCATCGATGGATAAGACAGTGAGACTGTGGCATATTTCGAGAAGAGAGTGCCTTTGCTGTTTTCAGCACATAGATTTTGTCACCGCCATAGCATTTCATCCAAGAGTAAGTCACATTTTGAATAGATTCTTATTAGTAGATATAAGGTCACAGATAAGGTCTGAATCTCTCACCATATACATTTAAAAATATTTTAGTAATGAGAAAAAAAAAAATGTGTAAAATAAATCCACCATGAAGGTGTAAATTAAACAATGTACGGTCAACCCTGTGAGGTCCCCGGTTGATGCAAACTAATGGGTTGGAATTATAGTGGATGTTAATTGGAAAAATCAAGCCTTCACTCTAACACTTGTAAAAATGATGACCAAATCTCAACAAATCAGGAAAAAATCCTTTTTTTCCCTTTTAACAAAGGAAAAAACCACTGCATTGTAGTCATTTAAATTCTTGATGTCAGGCTGAATAGTGGAGATTAACCTTTCTCACATCCAGTCTGGTCATTCAATTTCATCTGGATACAAAGCATGGACCAATTGAGAAGAGAGAGGAGATTGATGGGACCAATCAGATTAATTAAATCAGGGATAAAATCATCTGTACTTGAAATTTGGTTTATAAGGAGTTAATTATCATGTACAAATCTATTTTGTTCTCTAGTTAAGCCAAACTCCTAGGCTATCCATCTTGGTATTCCAGGGAAGGGGATCCCAGACATGTTTGATCAGTGGTGGAGGCAGTCCTATGATGCTCTTGCTGTGTGGTTAAGCATTGTCCTTGCATTGCTGTTACTGTTGGAAAATGGCTCTTGGGAGCCCTGCCATGAGAGGTAACATATGGCTGCAGGATGTCACTAACATACCACTGGGCTGACATAATCCTTTGGATCACTACTAGAAATGACCAGCTGTTGTATGTGATGACACCCGAGACCATTACACCCGCTATGGGGATGGTATGCCGCTCCAAAATGTAGGCAGGATTGAGGCATTTACCATGGGACCTCAGACACAAACACGATTATCATCAGTGCCCAAACTGAATCTGGATTCATTGCTGTATATAATCCAGTTCCATTCTGTTGCAGTCCAATCCTATCAGGAGCAACACCACTTCAAATTGAGGTGATGGTGGGTGGTGTCAATGGTAGCATATGTAATGGCTACTGCAATACCAAATGTTTGTCACTCAGGTGTCTTGAAATGGTACAGACACACAGAGGCCTGTTATGATGGCACGACTTATATCCAGATAGTGGCCAACTATATGGTTAGCTGTGTGCCTGCTGGTCCACTCAGCTAGTGGTCTATCAAGGATGTCCTGAGTCTGGGTGCCATGCGCTCTCTCTTGTCCACTAGTCCCAACACCACCTCACAGTGTTGTTAACAGGCTATTCAATGAGATGACCATCCAGATTCTCTCAACTCAATGATCCTTCCCCTCTCAAACTCAGTTAGTTGTTCATATGGTCTTCGATTACAATGTAAAGGCAACTCTAGTGATACAGCATCCCTCTGCAACAGGTAAACTACAGACAAGATGCTTCTGCACACTTTTTTATAGGCCAAGGGGGATGCACTTTAATGCCCTCTGTTGGCATTATGCAATGAGCCATCATGCTATAACTCAAATCTCAAGCAGATATGAAAATGATTAATCTGCATGCCAAGTTTCACAGCAATATGACAACTTGCTGCACTAATTTTTATGGCAATGTGTGTGTTATACAGCAAGACTGGGACTGAATTGTTACTGAACTGCTCTCATAGGACAATTCAGAGATGTCTTTCCACTAATAAAAATGGCTTATGTAGACAAGGTTCCTAACAAAATGTTTAAAGTGCCATTCCTGTTTCCTGCGCTGTAAGATGCATGCGCAATGATGTTACGCAAATCTAAATTAATACTCTAAGTCTTGTATTATGTTCTAAACAGCTAATGCTGTTTTTGTTCCAATTTAAAAACTTATTTGATTCCAGTTCTGCCTGAAGACAACGTTTACGAATATGTTGAAAGCGCTAAAATATTTCTTATAATGTTCTTTAACCCTTTCCTTCTGCCATCTTGTTTACGTTTGTCTTGTGTTCCCTCCTAAGGCAATATAGGTCAGTCAGGCGATATTATTTTAAAAATTCACCAAAAATGAAATTATCATTATATTCATACGAAAAAAATTACCTACATTTATTAATATCTTTCGTTTTAAATATATTTTTCAATACATTATATTAACCCTTTGCTTCTGCCATCTTGTTTACTTTTGTCTTGTGTTCCATCCGAAGACAATATAGGTCAGTCAGGCGATATTTTTTTAAAAATTCACCAAAAATAAAATTATCATTATATTCATACGAAAAAAATTACCTACATTTATTAATATCTTTCATTTTAAATACGATATTTTTCAATACATTTTACTAGAAAAATTTATTTTAAAAAATCAACAATAAAAAAAAATGAAATGTCAGAACTGAACAGCATAACTTGAGTATTTATAACACGTTGACTTATTATAGCTAAATAAACTTATTATAGCATAAATGAACCAATTATAGTGATATTATTTCATGAATATGCTACAAATTAAATAAAAAATTATCAGAAAATAAATAAATCAAGGAAAAAAAGCATTAATTAAAATTTTTTAAGTCAACAAAACACCACCTGAAGAAAAATATGTAAAACAGATGATAGACAAGACGGTGCCATCAAGTGCTGACATCTCTTGTTGATAAATTTTATAAAAATTGATTTTTACTAGGGTAACGACAAATCATTACCCTCAGTTTGGCTTAACAATGGGGGTAACAATTGATCAGTACAGTTGATCCCCCCTATAACACGGGTTCATATAATGCAGATTTGTATATCGTAGTGAAAAAATTGCAACCATATTCATATAAAGTCGCTAAAAGAGACTCGTAAAATGTCATCGCCGACTCGTGTCGTGATAGGATTGGTCGAATCTGGACTAATAGTGGACGAGCAGCCGAACTACTTACACGCTATGGAGAGTTTAGGCGGGTAAGTTCAGTTTACTATCGTCTGTACAGTATATAAATTAGGTACTGTAAGTCTAATACAGTACTGTAATTTTATACATTTCTTGTGAAAGGAACATTTCTTATTCAACGACCATAAAAAATATTTCTGTTAATGATGTCTCCAAAGTTCGACTAATTTTTCACAGAAAAATAATTTATCAGAAAATGCACCCGCTGTTTGGTGCACACTCAGTAAGTAATCCTACAATTTTTTGTTTATAGCATAGTTTATATGGATTATTTCCAAAAAATTATACGTGTTTTGGAAATGTTGAGTCAAATTAGTCTAGAATCGATTAATTTTATGGAAGAAAACCTTTCAAACAGCCGTAGTCC